CCTGTAATCCTAGCACTCTAGTAGGAGGCCAAGGCAGGAGGATCCTTTGAACTCAGGAGTTTGAGACCAACCTGAGTAATAATGAGGCCCTGCCTCTACTAAAAATTAGCTGGGTGTTGTGGCAGGTGCTGTAAGTCCCAGCTACTTGGGAGGCTAAGGCAAGAGGATGGCTTGGGCCTGAGAGTTTGAGGTTGCTATGAGCTATGATGATGCCATGGCACTCAACCCAGTGCAACAGGGGGACTCTGTCTCAAAAAAGAAAAAAGAAACAAATACACAAATGAAAGAAAGAAAAGAAAAAGGAATTCTGAGCCACCCCACAGATGGCGGCCCAGACCAAAAATGTAGATAGGACTTTCTAAGATGGGTGCCAGCTAGGACCCAGAGGGGCTGCAGGGAGCTCAGCTAAAGGAGAGAGCAGTTCATACATTCAAACTGACTTTGCCTCAAGTTATCACTTGTTACCACGGTGAAAGAGACAGTGTCTTCAGATCAGATAGTCAGAGGGTTTTTATGAGGAAAAGAGATTTAGAAGTGTTCTGTATTGTAGTAAATGCACATAACATAAAATTTACCATCGGGCAGCGCCTGTGGCTCAGTGAGTAAGGCGCCAGCCCCATACACCAAGGGTGGTGGGTTCAAACCCAGCCCTGGCTGAACTGCAACCAAAAAATAGCTGGGCATTGTGGTGGGCGCCTATAGTCCCAGCTACTTGGGAGGCTGAGGCAAGAGAATCGCTTAAACCCAAGAGTTTGAGGTTGCTGTGAGCTGTGTGACACCACAGCACTCAAGGGCAACAAAGTGAGACTCTGTCTCTACAGAAAAAAAAAAAAAAAAAAATTGCCATCTTACCCATTTTAGGTGCACAGTTTGGTGGTATTAAGTACATTCACACTGTCGTTCAGCCATTAACCACTGTCCTTCTCCAGAACTCATTTCCATCTTCTAAAATTGGAACTCTGAACCCATTTAATAACTCCCATTCCCTCGTTCCCCTTCCCCTGGCAACCACCCTTATAGGTTCTGCCTCCTTTAACTACTTTAAGTCCCGCATATAGGTGGAATCATACAGTATTTATCCTTTTATGACTGACTTATTTCCCTTGGTATCATGTCATCATCCACGTTGTAGCAGGTGTCAGATTCCCTTCCTTTTTAAGGCATTCCAGCAGATGTACATATCACATTTTGTTTATTGCTATTCGTCCATTGACAGATACTTGGGTTGCATCTACTTTCTGGCGATTGTGAATACTGCTGCTATGAGCATGAATATCACTATTTTTATTTTTTGTATTTTTGAGACAGTTTCACTCTGTCACCGTGGAATGCCGTGGAGTCATAGCTCATAGCAACTTCAACCTCCTGGGTTCAAGCGATCGTCTTGCCTCAGGTTCCCAAATAGCTGGAACGACAGATGCCTGCCCTAACGCCCAGCTGGTTTCTCTATTTTTAGTAGAGATAGGATCTCACTCTGTTCAGGCTGGTCTTGAACTCCTGAGCTCAGGTGATCCACCTGCTTCAGCCTCCCAGAGTGGAAGGATTGATTACAGGCATGAGCGGTCAGCCTGAGTTACCACTTTTTTTTTTTTTTTTTTTGAGACAGAGCCTCAAGCTATCCCCCTGGGTAGAGTGCCATGGCCTCACAGCTCACAGCAACCTCCAACTCCTGGGCTCAATCGAGTCTCCTGCCTCAGCCTCCCAAGTAGCTGGGACCACAGGTGCCCGCCACAATGCCTGGCCATTTTTTGGTTGCAGCCATCATTGTTGCTTGGCGGGCCCAGGCTGGGGATTCAAACCCATCACCTTAGGTGTATGTGGCTGGTGCCTTAGCCGATTGAGCCACAGGCGCTGAGCCGAGTTATCACTTTTAAGGGAGATTTAAGGCTGTCTATGTAGGCTCATGCCTTTAATCTTAACACTTTGGGAGGCCAAAGTGAGCAGATTGCTTGAGGTGAGGAGTTTGAGAAACCATCTCTACTGAAAATAGAAAAAAGTTAGCCAGGCTTTGTGGTGGGTGCCCATAGTCTCACCTACTGGGGTGGCTGAACTAGGAGGATCCCTTAAAGTCAGGAGTTTGAACTTGCTGTAAGGTAGGCTGATGTTATTATGCACTCTAGCCAGGCACCTATGGTCCCAGCTACTTGGGAGGCTAAGGCAGGAGACTCGCTTGAGCCCAGGAGTTGGAGGTTGCTGTGAGCTGTGAGGCCATGGCACTCTACCCAGGGGGATAGCTTGAGGCTCTGTCTCAAAAAAAATAAAAAAATAAAAACAATAGCTGGGCATTGTGGCAGGTGCCTGTATCTCAGCTACCTGGGAGGCTGAGGCCAGAGGATTGCTTGAGCCCAAAAGTTTGAGGTTGCTGTGAGTTATGATGCCACGACCCTCTACCATGGGTGACACAATGAGACTGTCTCAAAAAAAAGAAGGGGAGAAGAGAATGAAGATTCATGGGTGGACGTTACAAGGAGGCACCTGGGGAGCAGTAACAGGAGGAAAGTTTTCAGTGGTCAGAAATCTTCAGACCGCCCCAGGAAGTAGGGAGCACCCCATCCCAGGGGCTGGAGGGACATCTTATTGGCTACTTGGCCATGCGTGGGCCCCTTGGGGAAGAAATAGCCTACTAGGTGATTCTCGAGATTCTTCCCATCCTTGGGTTCTGGCCTGGAGAGGAGCTGAGGGGCCACCCACGGCCTGCGAATTGAGCTAGCTGGGACTGGCTTGCTAGATCCAACGGAGGGCACCAACTCCTATTTTGTTCCTCATCTCTGGCAAAGCTCCTCTGTGGACAGACAGCAGCAGATGACAACGTTATCCTGCCATCTGCTTCTTAGCATGGGAACATGTCGGCAAGCTTTCCGTCTAAGGAGGGGCTGCATGCTGCCCACCTCACCTTCTGTGAAGAGGGGATTGCCGGTCAGTGGGGAATAATGGAGAAATGGGAGGAGGGGGCCAGAAACTGAAGGCCACAGAGATTTCTCATTTTTGGCAGCTCCCCTGTGTCCTGCTTGCTCAATGGAAGCCTTTGTAGACCTTATTGTATGTGCCAGTGTTCAGGGCCTCGGCAGAGTTTAACGTATGTTCCCACAGCCTCAAAGAAGTGCAAGACGTGCCCCAGCGCTGGGCCTGGGCCAAGCAGCAGCAAAGGCAGATTGGGTGGCTGGGAGGGAACCTACGCCCCCTGACTGCCCCGCACTCTCCTTCCCTGGGGCCAATGTGTTCCAGGAAGATTCCAGGCTCGTTTCTGTGTATGTGTCTGTGTAAATGGGATAGTGCTTTCAATGCGCTGCAGGAGTGCCTCTCAAAAGAACCCTGTAGCCAAGTCTTTTGTAAAGTGAAAAATCCTTTTGTAAGGTGAATAATTCTACTGTTTATCTGCTTTGGAAGTTCCAAGCCTCTCAGGGGAGAGAGGGAGTTGTTTGAAGGGCATCTGGCCCACCCCCTGCCCATGCCTGATTCTCCGCTGGAGCATCCTCTCCAAGTGGTGAGAAGTCCCTGTTTAAAACCGCCAGTGATGGGAAACTTATGACCCCTCCCCAGGTTGGGTCATTCCATCTCAGGACAGCTCTGCTGATTAGAAATGGAAACATCCTCTGAGCTTTTTTAAAATTTTTTATTACTTTTGAAACAGAGTTTCACTTTGTTGCCCTTGGTAGAGTGCCCTGGCGTCACAGCTCACAGCAACCTCCAACTCTTGTGCTCAAGTGATTCTCTTGCCTCAACCTCCTGAATAGCTGGCACCTTCC